GTGTTGCTTGTTTGTTTGTTTGTTGTGTACCTGTGAGGTCAGGCTGGGCGGGGCTGTGCAGCAGCGGGCTGCAGGACAAACTGCTGAGAACCATCGCTGCCATCAGCTCGTTCATGTCCACCTCATGAGGACTCCTCTGACTGCGGGACGACAGGAAGCGGCGTTTAAACACGTTTACAGGTAAACGCAGAGTAAACGATAAATAAACACCAGAGGCGGGACCGTCTGACCTTTTTGGGACATCGATGCTGGAGGACACGGATCTGCTGCAGGATGAAGGCGAGCTGTCGACTGAAGACTCACCTGCTCCTCCACACTGGAAATACATCTGCGATCAGACACACACGGCTCACTGTGATTGGCTCAGAGCGCTGGCAGTCAACACAAACCTCCCCGAACAGAAATACGATGTTGAGCTGATGTTGCTCAGCTCAACATCCAGGACCAGCACTCACCTTTAATCCAAGATGGCCGTCTGCTCTGCTTGTCGCTTGCTGTCCCGCTGCCGCCATCGTCACCACAGTCTCACCAGTCTCCAGGTTGGTCCCCGGACAGGTCGAGGTCACGAGTGCCCCAAGAGGAGAACGCTTCCCCAGACGAGCCTTTGGTATCATGTCTGCAAGAAACAAAGGAGTCTCTGTAAGCACCGCCGGGAAGCTGCAGGTGAAGCTGGAAGCGAAACACCTGCAGGACTGCGGCTGGAGGTTCTGGTTCTGTCCTGGAGAGGAACCGCTGCAGAACCAGAACCTCCACCTGCAGCTCGTCAGCAGGACATCACTGTCTGTGTCGGTCACAGATATTAGAGGAGAAATTTATAAACGGTGTTTAATGATTCAGATAAGAAAACCTGAAGGGATCGTGCATGCCCCGCCCACGCCGTGTTGGATTAGGACCAACGCCACACTGTGCACAAACTCACGGCTAACATTTATCTGCTGACCCTCTGAGAGGCCCATCCCACAGGTTGGACACCAGTGGACGACCTATCTAACGGTCAGTCGACAAAAGAAGCTCCGCCTGCAGATATCCACTCCGAGTACACAAACACGTCGTGCACTTTTATAGTTTTTTTTTTGTTTACTGGAGGATCTGAATCGTTCTGCCGGGAAAACGTTGGCTGTGGATTAAAATCTGAGCGAGTCACAGGCAGCAGAGTCATATACAGTCAGGCTGTGTGTGTGTGTCATTACCACTGTCACTAACAGGGTAGAGGATTACCATGAACAGAGCAAATTGGTGTAACTGTCCAACAGCCTCTTTTTATCAGTTTGCATCTGTTAACATGTGTGACCAAAAGTATGTGGACATGTTCTTCTGTGTGTTTCTTTCCTCGGGTGGGGTGGGGGTGGAGGTGGGGGGTGATTGTCATCTTGAGTGAGCAGAGAAAAACAGCTGGTAGAAAGCTGGAAGGCCATGGCTGATGATCATTACAAGCTGCAGCATTTCCCGTCATTCAGAGCGAGCAGTCAGGGAAGCGCCGTCAGGGGTGGCGTCCACATACTTTAGCTTCACTTCAGGCTTTCAGATGTTGGAGTTTAAGGCAATCCTGAACTCTTCCCTGCTCACTTTTCTGATGCTGACGTCAGTGACCAAAGCACCAGAGTGTCCCTTAAAGTTCAAACACACACACACACACACACTCTTCTACACACTATTATAGTATTAAAGGCGCTTTTTGTAAAAACTCTCCAATGAAAACTTTCCCCAGGACGCAGCAGCTCTTTGCAACAATGTTTCAGTGCAGCGGTCAAACACAGAGATCACGCGTGGTGGAATCATGCACACATATTGCGCAAACACGCGGTTGGCGCGTTCTTGTCTTGCACACCTTGTGGCTCACAGTGGTATTACACCAGAGCGCCCATGTTTTAGCTTCAGGCACCTCTCTGCAGCACGAACACGTTTCTCTGACTTTAGAAGGTTTGAAAGTGGTTTTGGGTGCTCGGCTGTTTCACACGAAGTACCTTTAATGACTTGGGACAGTCAGCTGTTTCCAAACAATGTCTCCAGCAGCGGTCAGGAGCGTCACTAACACCCAGCTGGAGGTTATCTACATGTGCAATCACAATAAAGGGCTATTCTATTTTATTCTAGTTTATCAGTAAATTTTTATCTGTCTCAGAAACACT